AATTGTTTTCGTAGACACCAACATAAATCAATTTCAAGACAATACAAATAATTTATTGAATATATTAGACAAATTAAGTATGGAGCTACAAAAAATACTTGTATATGAATTAAAATATTCAACTCCATCCAAAAAGGAAAAGATTTAATTATTTCCTACATAAAAAAAAGTTTTGCCATTAAAATTCATATAATGGACTAAATTTTATTTATATATTTACAACCGAATTTATTCGCATTTGTATAACTTGTTAACACATTTAATGTCGGATTCTGACAATAATTGCCGGTCAGTAATTTCTTTAATGGTAACATTTGGAACAGTTGGCATTAAAGTAATTTTACCATGTTTAGCGCCTAGTTTAGGACCATAGTGCATAATAGTATCGTAACTATAAGTGCCACATACTCCAAGGCTGGGGTAAATCTGAAACGCTTCTTTATGTTCTGCTCGTTAAAGAAAAGTCATCAGTTCAAACTATTTATGCATAAAATATGTTGAACAGTTTGACTTACCTTCTTTAATATTATCCCATAAAATTTTTATATATTTATCACGATCCCGTCGAGTATGTTCGTGAAACAAGCCAATAGCGTGGCCTAATTCGTGAAGTATTATTCCGACGTTCCAACATCCACTTCCTAAATTAAGAATCTGACGTCCACCCGGTTTTCCAATGTGGGAATTACATCTGAAATGTATGTATACATATATTATAATGAATATAACGTAAATAATTAAGTATCCGTATCAATATTCTTACCCTTCTCCTTCCTGTATATAAATATAATTATCCTCTGTTCTTCTATATACAAAACGTAAGCAAGTTACAAGTTGGATGTAGTCAATAATTGTTATCAAAGTAAAAATTCTGACAATTTCTAGTAGAAAATGTTATTATTATATTAATCAATATTATTAATTAATTCAAATACAGCAAAATAACGTACTTAAGTCAGGAGAAAACTTGTAATATATTATACCATCATCCCAAACTCTGTGATGCAATACAACGGCTCGACTCTAAACATTTTAAAATTCTTTAATTAAAAAATTTCTGGATATCATTTTATATTAATACAATATTGAATATGTGTTAAGAGACTTTACAAAGTTTGTGGCATCCGTTATCCATGCGACAGTCCGAATACAGATACCACGAAAAGCATCACCATTTTGAATGGAAACCCTGAAACGACCCGCGAAAATTGTTGTGTTAATTGTGGGTTTGCCCAGGTCCACGATGAGTGATCTGGGCAAACTCACAATGAGTACTAGATAAGGCCTCATTTGTTTCCGCAAGAAGGAGGGAGTAGAAAATCCGGAAAACAAAATACGCATAAGAATATTAAACATCGATACATTGTTTTCTTCTATTCGAGAGATCTTAATTACAGTGGTGATCACATATGATTAGAATATCGACATTCTTGGTCGTCTAATAGTTTATCTTCGGCATGGTCTGGATTCTAAGGTCACCATATAAGATTTCCAAGTCCTTCGTAATGAACGTGCAATTCTAATATGTAAGATACACGTGGACGAGAGAACTTAATGGATAGACTCTATCCAGGAGATTGCAGATTGCGATTCTGTTAAAGAAATTAGAAGGCACGAAGATGCCGGGAAGAGCATCCCGACATCGCTTTTCTCTCGAGTCGCCAAAAACAATAGTGTAGGTCCTAAAAATGAACAAACTAAGGTTAAATGTGTAAAAATTTATAAATCACCTCTCCGAATGACGTATCCAATCTAATATCGCCTTCGAATAAATTCACATTTTCCATAGAACTCTTATACAAAGTATAATTAAAGGTTTCGTTATTTGCTAAATCCACATTTTCCATAAAGCTCTTATACAAAGTATAATTGACGGTTTCATTCTTTACTGAAAAAGTTCTTTGATAGGAAAGGAATAAACATCTATAAAGATAAATTAATTAAAATTCTGTAATAATGATAATATTACAATTAATATAATTATAATACAGTACTTACAAAGTGATTATATAGAAAATCATAATCGTCTTGCTTATAAATTAAGGATTTCCTTGTTTACCTTATAAGTTCCTTACATTAACAATAAAAATTCATTACAAATACAGCATAATTATTAGAGGTATTTACAAAATCGAGATATAATGTCGATTATTGTCATGTCACTCGAATTATTAATTACTATTAATTAGAATATTCAAATAAATATATTTATAATATTAAAATATGTAAAAATGTACCTTTTTCGTTGAGTTATCTTACTATAGAATAGTGTAAACGTCGTAAAATGACGAACTTTATATAGAAATTTCTTAAGTTTTTTTTGTTATTTAATTCTTATTCATTTATTTTTCTGTGGAAACGTGCTTGTGAAAACCAATAAGTTTGGTTTTCACAAGGCTATTTATATAATTCGATACTTGAAAAATATCGAATTTCTGAAGACAATACAGAAAGAATGATATCAATTTGGTATTGATGACATGTCTCTGTTACAGTTCGTGAAAATATTTCANTCTACTAACACTGAACTCCCTCCATTGTTCTGACTTGTCTTAACCCCTCCCTTGCTTCCAGTGTGGACATTGTTTACAGACATAAGTGAGGAGTAAAACTATGAATTTTATCAACAAAAGTACAATTTCATAGAATGTAAATAGATGGAATGAAAAAAATCCACATAACGAGTCTAAATATAAAGCAGTGTCTAATGATAAACTTGTAAAATAGTCTAACAATAAGTAAATACTTTTAATGTTGAGAATAAACAACACTGTTTCTTGTTATTATTTATAAACAAAATCAGAATAAAACACAATGTATTTCAAGTGAAATTAAATTTTTACATAATTGAAAAGTAAATACTTTTAATGTTGAGAATAAACAACACTGTTTCTTGTTATTATTTATAAACAAAATCAGAATAAAACACAACGTATTTCAAGTGAAATTAAATTTTACATAACTGTGAGAGCCGAAATTGGCGAAATATTTTGTTTAAATATTGTTTGTCGAGAGAGAAAGTTAAGGAGACAAAACTAAAAAACGAGTGTTAAAGGCAATTAAAACTGGTTCCCACGGACTTGTTTCCTTGTTGAAGGTGACACATTGAATGTCTCACCCTGAACCAACGAGTGAAAATTTGACTATTGGACCCAATGTACTAAATTCCTAACGAAGTCGTGGGAGAAACCCAGGAGGAGCCCCCCAATAAAAGAGGAGGGAATGATGATAATCGGGAGCAGTCGTCAGCGATTCAAACTCTAAACGGTGTGTGTGTTCCGAACTGCCGATTTCAGCCGTCTCCAACCGCCGCCTCACTAAAAGGATAAAACAAAAGGATTTCCCTCCGAACAGAGATTCGATAAGTCGTAGGATAAACACGTGTTTAAGGTATTTACCGTCTCTCTCTCTCGCGGTCAGGGTCGTGATCGTAATTATAAGATTCATATATATATAGGCCTATTATTAGCATATTATAGCATCCGCTAAGCATCTGTATATAGCTTGTAAATAGATGCTATCGATTAATAAACGGGTATTTTGTTAAATGATAACTTTGTGAAGTGTACTTCCGGTTGTCTCCTTCCGCTTCCATTCCGAGTCCGAAAGCTTATAATGCTCGCGCAAAAACTTACGTAACGGAAATCGAAATTTTCGTGTCCGGAAGACACGGTGGTGTCAGTCCTGACAAGGCATTAGCGGTACCGACCCTGCGGTCACATAATTGAAATTTAATGACGTTTACAGTTTAATAATAATGTTAAGTCCATTAAACGTGTAAGTCCAAAAAAATTCGGCGACTTTGCATAACAGAGCGACATTTTGTTTTATTTGACTGATTTTCCTAAAAATTACATTATTGTCGGACACAAAAATTATATTGGACCACTTCTGGCATTTTTACTTGCACTTATTTTAATTTTTCTACATAGTAAGTTTATGTAGAGATCTTCCATACAAATAATTATATTTCACCTCATTTGTGGCACGTTGCGGTGGCGGGCGGAAGAAACTGACCTCGCGGGTCGTAGCTTGGTGACCCCTGGTCTAGTATAACAGACAAAGCAGTTCCGAGAAACCTTTCAGTTGGAACAGTTTGTACTTGGATCAGCTCCAACAGTTACAGTTCCAGAACCTGAACTGGATTTTCCCCATCTTTAATCCAGAGTTCGAACATTATATTAATATTGACTAGTATAATGTAGGAAACAATATCAAAAGCGCTCAGCAACTAAATAAAGAAAAACAAAACATGCCGATAAATAAATATAATTTTAAAAAAGAAACGTTTTCAGCCTAGTTAATAGGCCATCTTCAGGTCGAAAAACCTGAAGATGGCCTATTAACTAGGCTGAAAACGTTTCTTTGTTAACATTATATTTATTTCTCGGCAAAAAAGGTGTTTTGTTTCTCATTATTTAGTTGCTGAGCGCTTTTGATATTGTTGTTATGGCGGCACCGGTGGAGAATTACAAGAGGTATAGGAAGTTGGCGTTAAAGCTGGTTAAAGCTAGTTGTAAATTAGAATTTTTAAAAGAATGTTTAAAAAATAAGGTGTATCCCATGTCGATTTACCGAATTAGCATCCCTAAGGAATGCCGTTCTCTAAAAAGTAGGTTCTGTTTGGCGTGCCTCAAAAAGTCTATTAGAATAGCCAAAAACAAAAAATATGGTATATTGAGTGAACTTATTTGCTTGGAAGACACCATATATAATGATGATCCGGCCAAACTGATTGATATCAATCAATCAGTTTTATCAGGCAAACTGAGTGATATCAATAAAAGGGTGGTGGAGTTAGCGGAAGCTGTTGGTAGGAGTTCCAATAAGCAATATATCAAAAAGTTGAAATGGATTATTCACAAACAAGTAAGAAGAGATAATAGGAAGAACCTTAGTATGTTCTACGTATGGGACCACATAGAAATACCAAAGAAAATCAAGCAGGTTCTGGAGAAAGGCCCGAACTTTGTCCCCACTGAAGTAGGTGGTTGGGAAACGTCAGTACAGGAGATTGAGAGAGGGATTGTTGGACTGGATGCATTAGAAAAGAAATATTTTAGATGGAAAGCGGTCATTAACAAACGGCCGAAGAACAGGACAGATGGTATTACTAGTAGGGACATTTGGCTCACGAAGAAGTGGTTAAGAATTAATGATCTTGCGTTGACAAGAGCAGACAAGTCTAAGCATTTGGTTATCATGAGAAGGCATACTTATAATAAGGAGTTGCATAATTACATCAAAAAGACGGAATGTGAAATTGTTGGCGACAATGTAGTTGGATCTTTGGACAGAACGGTCAGGAAGCTGGAACGCTCGGGACTTTCTGCTGTTTTACCTTTTCTCAAGAAATGCCGGAACCCAAGGCCCGGAACTCCAAGATTGTTTGCTTTCGCTAAGAACCACAAGACCGGAATGGAGTTAAGGCCAGTTGTAGAGAAATGCAGAGGACCCACCTTTATATTAGAAAAAAGGCTGCACGAGTATTTATCCTCACACCTTGATGATGATAGTCTAGTGGCACAGGATCCTCTTATTGTTGTCAAGGAAATACAAGGTATATCTTTAATGGAAGATGAGGTAGCGACCGTCTTAGATTATGAAAGCATGTATCCTTCAGTAATGATTGAGTCTTGTGTGGATGCGTTATTGGATTTCTTGTACATAAAGAACTCCCAGTTGCTTCTTTACAC